GAGGAAGAAGAACACTAAAGTGAATTTGTGCAACCGGTGGAAATCAGTCAGATGGGATAGCAATGCTTATGACGTGAGTACACGAGTACGTCAGTGGAATCGCTGGAAAAAAAAACACAAAGAACTCAAACGACGAAGGCTGACTGGATTGTGCATTTCAGCGAAAAGTGGAAAATGTGAAAACTTGTGCTTGTTTCAACACTACACCCTCGTAATTTTACCATAAGTAACCATAAGTCAATCCAATCTGGTAAGGTCGAAAAAAGACATGACAGATTACGAGATGAGTGTTATATATGTACATTTCTCTTCTGAGAAGAACACAAGTCACTGAACTGGGTCGGGTTGGCGGTAATTCTGTCCAAATGATTTACAAGGTCAACAAATGACCCATGCAAATCAATAAGATACTGGGTCCGTCAAAACAAGTGAGGTCGATAGCAAGGTCGATCAGAAGCGGATGAACTGCGACCTAATTTGAATTCTTACAACCGAGTAGATTCTGACGTTTGTGCAAGCGGATCTGACGAAGAAATGTCTAAAATAGAAACAACCCTATCTAATCAAATTAATATAGAAATAAATGAACCACAATTTCTAATGAAGGCCAAACAGTGTTTCAAGTGGCCCATTTGAGGCACTAATTCCATAGGGCTGATGAATGAGACATAAACTCTCAGAAATCATCCCCTTTCAAGTGATTAGCGTCCGAGGGGGAAACGGGAGGAGGATGTGAATGGGGCAACAGGAATACGATGAGAGTTGTTAGAGTTGATTAAACGAAGGCGTTTTGAGTATACCGAGAATCACAATGAAGAATTTATTTTCGGATTAGGGGTGGGAGAGTGAGAATAGCCACTGCAAATTCACAGGCATCCAGCATTAAAAACCATAAAGAGACATTGCATGGGACCTGACAACCTGATTCGAGTAAATAAAAACATCTAACTTGACACTCTTGAACCTCAGGTTAATAAGGACCATTCTCAAGGTTCACGTTCGAAATGAAGACTGCGGAAGAAGAACATACTACTGACAAAGACGAAAAATTTCCTTGTGATTTTCCTTTATAATCTAAGTGATGAACGAATTCATATTTAGCATAATTAATGTACCATCAATGAGCTGATCTTGGAATAACCGTTTAAGGAAAAGACTAGAAGATACATTATAATTAGTAATAAATACTACATTCAATTTATTTATTACCGCTCCGTAATTAACAGTTGTAATGCAATATGGACCGGTGACCTGAATTTGGCATAATACGATTAACTAGAAGACAAACAGACGAGCCATTTGAGGTGGTAAAACGTTATCCTGTCTTTTCGGTATGCAAAGATCCAATTTTCTGCTCGGAATGGAGAATTTCCTACCACTCCGTATGTGTGTTTGTTAACCGCTGCCAGTGCCGCTTTCCGCTCTCCGTCCCCACTTTTATCTGGCAGAACCGAGAAGAACGCACATCATCTGAACCTCAGTATCTAATGCCCATCGTTTTAACATGTCGAACAGTAACGGAAGAACACGCGTTTATTGTTGCACGCACAGGGTTGCTTGCAGGAGTGGTGTGTGTGTGTGTGTGTGTGTGTGTGTGTGTGAAATGAGCCATAAACATGAGATGAATATGACAGGACAAGACAGGACAGAAATAAGGCAAGAAACAATCCGAGGATTTTTCAGTAGTAACAGCGCAAGACGATGCATTCAGCTGACCACACGACAGCTATCCTGGTGAGAGTCCACTGACATACGCGCAACCATGAATTCTGAACGCAATGTTTTTTCCCTCTCATGACATATAATCTACCAACGAAAACTAAACAGATCAGGATATGTATGCACCAAATCCGCTAATGTGCCAGGACGGTTAAGAGCTGATGGGTCACGCTTACCTATTCTACATCTCACCCCCGGTACCAGCTAGCTCACATGACATTCACAGCCTATTCAGAGATTCGATCCAGATCTTTGCCCCACCTAGCTTTCTCCTTGGCTTCTCTTCTGGTCCTGACGTGTTTCTGTGCTGGTGATAGGATCACCCGGTCCACACGTCAAACTACCCAGTCGTACACCGTGACTACCGTGTGGTGAAACGGGTTGCCGTATCCTGTTTTAGAAATGCGGACATGTGTAGCACTCGCGCGTGCGCTTAGGCACACACACGTGCATACATGTTCAACTGATGCTACTCCATTTGGTACCCTCAGGATAGGATGTACCCCAATGAGGAACAGAAACGATGCACAACTGCCATTTAGCTGACAGCCACATGTCATCCTGTCCACCCGGGACATCTCCGACAGTTGAAAACACACGCACATGACCGTACATGCCGTGAGTGAGCGAGCGAGCGAGCACACGAAAAGGAGAGGATAGTTTCATTTGGTTGTGAATTACTGTTTGAATTGTGGTTGTGTTGACGGTAGTTGTAGTGGTTGTGGTAGAAGCATTGGTGATCGTAATGGCGGTAGTCATATAAGCAACAGTGAAACTGGTGGTGGTGATTTTGGTTGTAGACAGACCCAATCGGATTATGTTCGTTCCCATTTTCTTAACCCCGGCAGCCAGCAGGGCACGCACACAGCAGTGCTACACCCAATCGCATTATAGCACAACACACCACACATATTCGGTAACCCATCATGGATCGGAGAGTAGGGCAACCTAGAATCTGTCAACCTGTATTCGGTAGGAATGATGAAAATGACAGCCAGGGCGAAATCGTTGAAAGCCGACCTCACTTAGACCACTGATCTACCAACGTACGTGCCTCCACCGTTTACACATGATTCCTTCTGCCCCTCCTCCTCCTCCTCCCCCCCCCCCCANAGCACATACGCGCACACGCACGCACACAAAAGGTTCACCCAGAGACGTGACCTCCCAAACCATGCGTAACCAGCACAGACGCTCAGGCTGTCAGCATCCCGACGACGACTGACATGCAAATACGAATACCACCACCAGCGTAGTTGTGATAACAACATCACCACGACTGGGGGGGGGACGAGATTGTGGACGGAAGGAACGGTTAAATTCACCAACAGCGAATGTGCACGTCGATATCTGAAACATCTGGGATTCAAATAGATACTGGGCACAACGGATGCAGAGATGCATGTGCGGCTGGTGACGCGCTCACACCTTGTGTCAGGTACTCAAATGCGTTGTGATTTGTTATCGTTGTAATAATGTGTAACATTCGCAAACAGTCACGCTCACATCGTGTAAGTAAAAGAGAAATGTGCATTTGCCTACTGGATAGCATACTACTCACTGATTGTGATGGGGTGCGGAGAAATGGGGGTGGTTAGGTGGAAGATCGCATCTAGAAATCTATACTAGCTCCCAGTTCTCTCTACCACTGTATCCTCGTTCAACGTATTCAACGTCAAAGAGGAGCAATGAAAGACGTCGGCAGGTCTATGGAACAATGAAGATGATGCGATTGTGCGTGGAAGTGAGATGTGATGTATCACACTGAATGTATCAGTAGTGGTGGCAGCATTAGTAGCAGCAGCAGCAATACAGCTAACTCGTTAGGACAAATTAGTAATGGAAAACATCACGTTGAACACTGACCCCAAGTAAGCAGATCTTTCTGTCTGTTTCATCAATACAAACTCAGTCTGTCATAGGTGGTGTGTGGGCAGGAGGGGGATGTGTATTCGATATTCGTACAACGCCCACAGGAATAGGCCCCTGCCGTGTGTCTGTACGCTTTATGAACAGAAGATGATAGACAAACAGAAAGACAGACAGCAACACGGGAATTAGGGCACAGAGAAACACCTCAACTCCAAAAAAATTAGGCACCAACAGTATCCGCGCCACCAATTTGTAAGGTACCGTAACCCAGGCGGAGTGTTAGAGCTTCACTGTGTTGGAAATTTCATGTCTAAAAAGGTCACAACACAGTGTACATGTGTGTGTGTGTGTGTGTGTGTGTGTGTGTGCAGCCGAACAGATATGAGAAAAAGCCAACATGACAGGATGACAGGAGACAGCAAACCGGGGTGTGCCCACCCGCCCGAACGCCCGCTTACCAAGTTAGTCTCGGTCGGTGGACCATCCAACCTCCCGGACCAAGCCTTCAATATGGAGGAGTTTTATTCCACTACACACGCATATACCAGTAATGCACGTGCGCACACTTATATACATATATATATATATATCTATACACGCACACACGGATGTTGGACTTTGTGCAAGCATTCGCAAGGTTCAACGGGCTCGGCCTAGCAGCTTATCTCTGGTTGGATAAGAAACCAAATTTGTGTGAAGCCAGCCGACAACAGACGACATCAGACAGACGGAAAACAAGCCAGATCTCTCCTCCCCTCAAAAAAAAGGTTCATTGGCAATCCGGTTCTCGACATACAATCTCACGGCTCAAGTGCCTAATAGTATTAGTAGCTGTAATAGTAATAGTAACATTAGTAAGGGCAGCAACCGCAGCCGCCGCAATGATAGTATTAGTAGTATATCAGTGAGTGTTGCAGTTACAGGTAGGAACAATATGAGATTTCAGCATCCAAGGCAGATACGTAGGTAGGTAGGTAGGTGGACAAGTAGACTAACAAACACAGTGAAATGGGACGAAGGTGTATCGAACAAGCAGGAACCAACCTAAACATTCATGAACTGACAACTGCGTTGACGATTGCTGTGTTGGACACCCATGCGCCTGATGGAAAAATTACGCCTAGCGAATAATTCCCAAGTGTATGTATGTGTAACGGAACCTGACTGGCACACGCGCGTATTCTTCTGTGTATGTGTTCCCGTATGCTTGCGTGTCTCTAACCCCGAATGAATTCACGTGTGATAGGAAATCAGTCATGAAGTGAATTGGACAAAACTAAGCAAACCACTCACACGAGCGTGGAGAAGATGAACTGTGCGTATAACCAAAAGCACAAATTGCGGATCCGGTCGACCGAAATTCTCTATGATATTCTGGATACAAGTACGAATATCTGTTCGCGTCCAAAGACAATGAGGGATGTTACGTGATCGGGACGAACCAGTGGGTTAAGCTCTGTGATTTAAAATTTCAAATAGAATGAACCATAATCACGTGAATGATAACGTGAACAATTGCTTTGGTATTCTGTAATTGCAACACTTTGTGACAGGAAATTAGGAATGAACCTCAGCGTCACCAAGATACACTGCTTAGTCTCGAGAATCCATCTTAGAGCGGGACCAGTCTTGATCTGGTGCATCTCGTAAGATTTCAACAGGATAGAACCATACCTTTTCAACTTCGAGTGAATCCAACCAACCGCACTCCTTTGGGAATCCCACAAGATGATTGGTGTTTCGGTCGTCAAATGTCACCGATTGGACCGGGTATGTCTTAATTCCATCCAGTCCGAATGAACTCACTTCCCCGTAAACAAACAAAAGTACTTTTTGAGTGAGTTACCGAGCGAGGATGAATGTTTCGGTGGGGCGAGGTGGGCCGTTCTGTCTGGGCATAGTGCCCGACTTATCGATCCATCTTGACGTGATTCGCTTCCTTACTCGACCGACAAAGGTCAATTAACTCCGGGTTTGTTCATCCGTGGCTGTGACGTACACTCGTAGGGAGGGGGGGGACGGCCCACCTCACCCCACCGAAACACTCATCCTCGCTCGGAAACTCACTCAAAATATACTTTTGTTTGTTTACGGGGAAGTGAGTTCATTCGGACTGGATGGAGTTAAGACATACCCG